ATTCATTCTTGTGATTTTTGATTCATGTAAGCGAATTGAATTCAATTAAGTAACTGGCAGCATTTCAGAATACTATATACGATGTATGTATGTATGTCGTATGTATCCGATTCTAGCTCTATCTGTCTGACAGTCGACGACGCGTCACGCTCGGTTGGTTGGTGCAAATTTAGAAACTGCAGATGTGGCGAGTAAACGCTGCACAAAAGTCAAGCTTAAGCTAGAGACTTTTCCTTACACTAACATAAATGTATACATGCATACATACATACATACATACATACATATGTATGAAAGTATAAAAATATAGTTTTAAAGTGGTATTACTGCACATGCTCATGCCATTACTCATAATAATTTTTAGGCTTGTTTTTATTCTTGGTTTATTACTTTGTTTCTCAGTGTTTTATAACGCTTGCGGTTTCTATTACTCGTTCTAGAATCTACTGCTAACTGGTTGTGGTTGCCGCTAAAGATGATGAAGTCAGTGCTGACTTCAGTAGCACATGCAATCAGCAGTAGTATCAACAGCTCTAGACTGGGTATTGTTGTTGCTTCTAACCATGTGATTCATCATCATGAAGCAGCCTATTGATTGAAAAAATCTTGAGTTCATAGCGCTGTTTTTGAATTTCTGATGCACAATTTTATTTGAATTATTATTATGAAATAATAATTATCTTTAATACAACTTGAAAAGAGGTTGATCATTAGTAAAAAATTATTTCTCAACTAAAACAGTTTATTTTGGTGGCACCAAGCATTCAGTGAAGATCGTGAAGTCATAGCAAACTTGCCTCATGCATGTCATTTATTCACCTCTGTTAAAGACTAGAACATCGAGAAAGTTAAAGAAACAGTGCTTGAAAATCGACGTCTTGAGATCAGAGCGATAGCAGAGGGCCAACATCTCTTATGGATCGACTCAACGCGTTTTGGTTAATATTTAGGCTATAAAACGTGTCAATGCTAGACTCGTACCAAAAGACAACCGAAGAGCCGACATTCATCAAACGCATCATTACCGGTGCCGAGACAAGGGTTTATGATTATGACGTCGAAACTTTCCGACTATCTAGCGAATGGCGCACCAAAAATGGGCCGAAACCGAAAAAACCAAAATTCGCTGAAGGTACTAAAGGCCATCCCAGCCGAGGTTTGTATGTAACAAGTGTATGAAAAATTAGATTAAGCGTTGACATGCTTATATTGGTTCAAAATTAGTCCATTTTGAAGGCGATAATAAAGATTTGTATTAATACGTAAAACGATTTTTTTTTTTTGTCAGTCTGGGTCAAATTCAATCAGATGGTATTTCAAATACAAAAAAAATCATTATTCTTCCAACAGATATTCGTTGGCGATTATAAACCTGTACGACTTTTCAATTATCGGATATTATTCAGATGCATGGTACATATAGAGAAGGGACTCGGTCAAAAACAAAACAAAATATCTCCATTAAAAAATATACTTGAACTATTTTAACATACATTTGTACTTATGTATATGTCAAGAAACCCAGAGAAACTATGAATAAAACAATTATCTTGTTTTGACCAAAAACCGTTACAACGACATATAGGTTTACGTAAACGGACCGGGCGCAGATTTTTGCCGGCCAGGTTCCACAGCATTCTTCAAAATTATTAGAGAAATCTTTTCCGTCGCTACAACAACATCAACCAAAATATTCGACAAAGAAATGTCGGACAGCGAAATGTCTTAGAACTATTAAAGGAATGATTAAAACTAAACAGGCAGCAATACAAAAACTGCTCTCAAAAATATACAACTGCTATACGCTAGAAAATAACAGATTTTTTGTTGCAGCAAACGAAATTAAAAGCCACGAAAAGAACTTACAGGAAGACGACCGGGATTTTGCAACAACTCTATATAGCAATAAATCCTGCTATATTCTGGGAAATTTTTGAAAAGTAAATTTAAAGTGTGCCTACAACTCACCGAAAAAATTATGGCGAACTCAAGGACAACACAAAAACACGACGCCTCATTCAATCCTTAGCTTGCCGAAAAGAAAAAACATTTTTACAACTATGAAGACCAGCAACACAGCACATTGGAGCATTATTGAGTAAGCAAGTGAGCGCACTAAAATTAAGCAACTGAATGTCTAACAAAATGACGTAATCCGCCACTGCCTCCAACGCTAACACACACACACATGCACGCAAACGCGGGTGTTAAACAAGCTGTGGTAAAGCGCGCGGACCAGTGCGTGTGCTAACGGCTGACGAAAAATAAAAGTTGCGACACGAAACGACCGCAAAACCTCAAAATCTACAGAAATGTACGAATAAAATTGTACAACAAAAGCAAAACTGACATGCAGTCATAAATAATCCGAACAAAAACAAATTAATGAGACAACATCAAAAGAAACAAACGAAAAAGAGAAGACAATACAAATAGCGAGAATGATATGAAACTAGAAACTAAAGCAAAGAATACTCAAACGACGGTGAATAAATAATACTTAAATTGACAAATAAATTATATAGACATTGAATAAAATACTATATACGAATGTATATATAGATGTGTGTATATACAAATAAAATAAAGTGGCGAATAAAAATAAATTCGCAGCGAGATGTGTGGATCAAGAATCTTTTGAGTATCTTATGGTATGGGCAAACACATTTTTGTATTTGTATTGTATTTTATACATATTTACTTATGTCGCTATTCTTATAAATATATAGACTGCGTGAAGAAATTTATTTTTGTATAATTTTTTTTATGATTCAAGTTAAGTGGATGATTATTTTTGAATGAATACAAAATGCTAGAAAAATACGCTGCGAAAAATGCAAAATTTCAAAATTTTGTATGATTTTGTATGAAATAAAGTTATACTTACATACATACAATAAGGCATATACCTCTGTACAAATGTATTTACATACTAAGTTTTAAGTAATTAAAAAAAAAAAATTTAGAAAAAATACTTCAAAAATGTAGAAATAACCGGGCACAACATTGAAAAGAAACAGCTAATTTCAAAATTAAAATAAAATAAATAAGAAAATAGCAGCTGCTGCAGCCACCGACACAAAGGGCTCGATTTTGAGTATGTATGTAAGTATGTTTATATGTACATATGTACAGATGAACTGCTGACTGGCGACTGTCAGTTTGCATTGTTTTTGCAATAATGATTTAGGGTGGAAATTAAGAGCAAATAAAAACAATTGAATTCACTTCAAAAATACAAAACAGACGTAAATGTTTGAAGCTGAAAAACAATTTTGTATAAATGTACACATGTACTTAAGTAGATCATGCAAAGAATCAACTGTCAAACGAATACGCAAAACTAATGGACAAACTGTCAGATAAAATTAAACCAATAAGGCAAATAAGCATTGAAATATACAGATCCATACATACCTACATACATATACACACATACATACATATTTATATTTCAAAAACTGCACACAATTCACTGGTGATATCATAGAAATTGTGCCACTGTGTTTGACAGGTCAGCGCGAGCAGCCAATAACAAATGCAAATCTTTCGATTTATTTCTTGCGTTTCGCAATTAATGTATCACAACGTTTAAAATTATAAAAAATTGTTTGGGTCTAATTAAAAAAAAAATAAATTGCAGCAATATTGACACAAGACCGTTGCGAGAACCTAGATACATTTTTTAATTCTGGAAATTAAAATAAAAAATAATATACACGAATAAACCACAAACAAATTTTCAAAAACTTAAATAAATGACATTTTTATCTCACCAAGGACTGACATTACAGAGTGTTCCTTTAAGTTACATTTTCGTGACATTTTTAAAGAACCACAACTAAAATCGATTCCAAAACGCAGATAAATTCAGACAGAGAACTATATTTGTTTGCTTAAATTCAACATTGTATTTGTATTAGCATACTTTAATTAACATTAATATTTCATTTCATTATTTAATTAAGAAACGCGAAACAAAGCTTAAAACAATACGAACATAATAGTGAAGTTCAAAACTGACGTCATCAGTCAACAAAATAGTATGCGGTTACTCCCTTTTTGTTTGTCTGCCAAGCAATGGCTTACAAAAAGTTAACTTTTTCACTAGTACAGTAGTTGGCATACTCGTTTATCACCAATATGCTTCCCATATCTACATTTGTTGTATACCTCTTCCGCCAATTTGAATTTCAAATCATAACATTTCAAAACTTGACCAATACAAATTTAAGTTTTTAAGAGAGCGCGCGCGCAACTGTATCGGTCAGAGTGTAGGCTTATTTGGCAACACTGGCAACGTGCTGCCCCACCTATTCAACGTGCTAAAGAGCGCTAGTAGTAAAGGTAGTCGTCGCAGCGGCCAAAATAAGCGTGGTAGTGACGCCAGCGTCGGCGTATATGTGGAAACCTGTTTTTGTTTTCATTTCTATTGCCGCGTACTCTGTTTTCGCACGTAAATTATACTTAAGGTTTTGTTGTTGTTGCAATGCTAGTTCTCTCGAATGTCTAATAAAGTCACCGTTGTTGCTATTGCGCTATTGTTTAATTTTTAATAAATTTTATTGTAGTCGTTGTTGTGTATCCAATAACTTTGTACTATTGCTTGTTGCCACAACCACTACAACCAGCAACAAGAATTTATAATAAAAGCCAACATTGCAGCATTAATTTGTTTCACCGTACAAATACAATTTATGTTATGAAAATCGAGTTTATTGTTCTTTTGTACATTTATTACTATTGCACGTCAGCATATTTTTTTTTCATTGGAAAAAAAATGCAACAAGGCAACGACTACACATAAAGAAATGAAAAACCGCTACATTTTCGCATTGGAGTGCATAGTGCTTGCAACAGCCATTAGTTTGGGCATGCTTTTTTGTTCTCGCTTTTCCACAAACACTAACACAACTGCGCACAATTACAGATATTATATTTTATAAAACTGGATATCAACCATATTTAACGTAAAAATAATAGCAAAACAAGTTATTTACCCGAAAATTTTCTAATATTCAACAAAGATTGATGACTTCTCACACATCCTTCGTAGTGTGTAATTGTTGTTTTTCTTTCTGGCTAAAACGAAAGCTATCTTTTCGGCAGCGAAGATACACACAAAACTGCTATTTCCAAATGTGTTGTTATATTCACAGATTCAGACTTTGTTCCTAAACATGTTTGCTTAATTTATTCACTAAACTTAATTTCAATACACTGCACTTTAATTTTGACTATTTGATTTGTTAATAGTTGAAAAATCCAAGCGCACTAAAAAGTGGTAACCATTTACCACTACTTGCAGAGAATTTTATAAAAGCAGCTCAGCCAGCACTAATTACACTCACGTCCAATAAAATTTATTCACGTCTCATCAATTCGGCTTCTCGCGCACAACTGCGAAACAGGGATGAGCAAATTGTGCTCGCATATTTCCAATTCGTTGCGCATGAAAAAAAGTACTTTGCTGGTAAAACGGCAATACTGAAAGTTGGGTGTGGTGAGTTTATAATGTCGAGATATTTCTAACTGCTATATGATCATAAAATTATTTAAAAGTCAAAAACAAAATGTTATCATTTTATAAACTGGTTGCATATACATAGAAGCACCGTCAATTATATAAGATATAATATATAGTAAAAATTTTAAACAGCAACCCAGTTGCTATTCACCAATCTCAGTCCAACGATCCAATTGAATTCAGTTGGAATAAAAGCGTTGCCATATTGCGTTGCTGTCATCAAATAGAAATTTTAAGGATTTTGTTATAAATTTTAAATAAACAGATATCACAATAGTGCAAAGGCTAATTCACATAGTCTGCTTAATTAATATCTACAGCATATAAAAATGTGTCGTAGTTAATTGCATGCATAATTATTAATGAGCTTTTTTTTTTTAATTTGCCAGAGATGTAAAAGATTTTCAATAGAAAATTTATGTGTATATATATTGGTATGATTTACTAATGAAGTGCACGTTTTGTCATCACATAATTTCCATGTATTGTTTTTTATTATTTGCTATATTCTCCTTCATTTAAAATTGTTTATTTATTTGTTAAAACAAAAATTACTTCACAATAATTGTGATAATTGTTTTATACCAGTTTTTGTTTATATTTGATAAGCAGATGCAACCCTGTACGTTTATTTATAATACACGCGTGCTGGGTTCCTTGCCAAAGACGAACTTTTCAAAAATTCACTATTTCCTCCATCTACATTCGTACCGGTTGCAAGTAAGTTCTCAGTTTCTGTGCATTTATCTATATTTTGTAAAGTATAGTTATAAATCTGAATAAATTATTAACTAAACTTTTGTTATAGGTCTTTCTCAAACAGCGTAAATTAAAATGAAGCCACAATATAAAGTTGGTAAGTATGCAATGTAGGTTAAGTTTCGCGGTTAGTTATCAGCTGTTGGATCAAATTGTAAATCGAAATCGAGTTTATAAATCTTGCTATATAAAAATTAAGGCAAAACTAACATTTTTACTTTAATTAATTTCAGCTGACATTAGTCTTGCTGAATGGGGACGCAAAGCCATCATCATCGCTGAGAATGAGATGCCTGGTTTGATGGCCATTCGCAAGAAGTATGGACCACAAAAAGTGCTGAAGGGTGCGCGTATTGCTGGCTGTCTGCATATGACAGTACAAACCGCTGTATTGATAGAAACGCTCATCGAATTAGGCGCTGAAGTAAGTAAAACAATATTTTGGGAGGCAGGCCTCAACCGGAAATCTTAAATGCTTATCACTATTGTTTTCGTTTACTAAGTGTGCAGGCTAATTGCGCTCATTCATTACACATATCGTAGATAAGGATCTCACGTAAATATGTATTTATACATTTCTAAGTATGCTTTTGTTGATTATCTGTTGAGGCCAAGAGTTCAAAGCGTTGCTACGTTCATGGTCTTGTTTGTTGTCGCCATATCGGTACCAATTCATTAGACACAGTTCGTAAATTATTTATTTTATGCTTTCTTTTTCTTTCAGGTTCAGTGGTCAAGCTGTAATATATTCAGTACACAAGATCATGCTGCTGCAGCTATTGCCAAGACTGGGGTGCCAGTTTATGCTTGGAAAGGTGAAACCGACGAAGAGTACTTATGGTGAGACAAACTTAAGAATAATAAAAAAAATAATATTATTTATTTTAATAAATAACACTTGCCTAATTTTTCATATTTTTAGGTGCGTTGAACAGACCTTAGTTTTCCCAGATGGTCAGCCCTTGAACTTGATTCTTGATGATGGTGGTGATTTAACCAATTTGGTACATGAAAAGTTCCCACAGTATTTGAAGGACATTAAGGGTTTGAGCGAAGAAACTACAACCGGTGTACACAATTTATATAAAATGGTGAAGGAGGGACGTCTCGGTGTGCCAGCCATCAATGTCAACGACTCTGTTACCAAGGTTAGTATAATTTTTTTCGGATAAAAGCAATCTTTGTTTTTTTTATTATAAAAATTATTATTTGTGTACATTTGCAGAGCAAATTCGATAATCTGTATGGTTGTCGTGAGTCGCTAATTGATGGTATTAAACGTGCCACCGATGTGATGATTGCTGGCAAAGTGTGCTGTGTTGCTGGTTATGGTGATGTGGGCAAAGGTTGTGCACAAGCGTTGCGTGGTTTTGGCGGACGAGTTATTGTCACCGAAATCGATCCCATCATTGCTTTACAAGCGGCTATGGAAGGCTATGAAGTAACCACCATGGAGGAGGCAAGCAAAGAAGCCACTATCTTCGTAACAACAACTGGTTGCAAGGACATCATTACTGGCGCACATTTCTTACACATGCCCGACGATGCTATCGTTTGTAATATTGGTCATTTCGATTGTGAAATCGATGTCGCCTGGTTGAATGCCAACGCCAAGGAGAAGATTAATGTCAAGCCCCAAGTAGATCGTTATACACTAACCAATGGTAATCATATTATTCTTTTGGCTGAAGGACGTTTGGTAAATTTGGGTTGCGCGCACGGTCATCCCAGCTTCGTGATGTCCAACTCGTTCAGTAATCAAGTGCTGGCACAAATCGAATTGTGGACCAAGGCTGACAAATACAACGTAGATGTGCATATGTTGCCGAAAATACTTGATGAAGAGGTCGCCAGTCTACATTTGGAGAAATTGGGTGTGAAGTTAACAAAATTGAGTGACGATCAATCCAAATACTTGGGCGTGCCAAAAACTGGTCCATTCAAACCCGATCACTACAGATACTAGATGGATCGAATTTTTTTTGTTTACACATAAATGGTTTTGTTGTAATTTGAGTTGCTAAGCATTTATATTAATGAAATAAAGTGTACGAGTGAAATCTTGATGACAGTCACGTAATTGATAAGAGATTTAGAAATTAATGTTTTACTACAAAATAATTGTAGCGTTTTTATAGTTGCTGTTGTTATAGGAATTGAAACACATTTCTCGTTCCAAACAGAAGTTTGGAAAAAGCACGCAATCACATATGTATGTATGTAATATGTGCAACCACAATTACGGAATACTGTTGTATAGAACATCCCGCTCAGTCTCTATGTAAAAGTCAAGTGAATATTTACATATTTGTGTAATCATTTTTTAACACTTGCCGCATCTTCACAAATATGAAGTTCTCTAGAAACAATGTCTATGTATGTGCGTTTCTAGAATTTAATCTCTTCCTCTCATTTAACACTAACAAAAATATTTGATAACAGTTGAATTTACTTATCGTTTAAAATTTATTGTGATTACTAACAATTTTATTTCACTTTTTTATTTACATTATTTAATTATTATAAAATTATATATTGTTTTTTCTAATCTAACATTTATTCAGCGGCGCCTAAATATATGCAACGCTATACGATTGGTACGAGTATTGCAAAGCGAATATCCGGTTTTCTGTTTATACCTACATACATACATTACATGTATTTACTACATGCAAGCAATGCAAAAAATAAGAATTTTTAAAAATGGAGAATAATAATGTACATTTACAGATCTTATTATACTTTAATAATCGGCGATTGATTTTAAAAATTCCCTTGATGCCGTTCGGAGGAGGACCACCGAAAAGAGTCTGCTTAAAATTATATATCATCCAAAAATCAAAAATAATGATTACTATAGATGAATACAGGTAACGATCGAAAGACTTGTCTAAAATTTAACAAAATGGCGGCTTACTAAAAAAGTGGTTCTTTGTAATAAAAAGAATTTACAGTTCAAAGTGGCTTAAAAATCTTATTACTTTGATCATTAAACATACATATATATCTAAGGTCTATCGATCTAGCTGTTTCGGCGAATTTTACTTTTCTGACTCTGAAAACAGCGCGTTTAGAGAAACGCGTTTAAAGTTTTGATAGACGATTACACTAAGTTAATTTTTTGAAATTCACAAACGCATATAACCCCTTAATTGTAATACAGCAAAATCAAAGAATACGAGTAATGTAATTGTAATTTTAGTAGTAAATACCATACTTATATTTAGAATAATTTTTATTAAAATAAATAGATCATAGATAAAAAAAACATAAAATATAGACAATTACGATTATCACCATTATAATCATTACGATTACTATAATTGTAATTATTACCTTTTCAAATTACGATTACAATAATTGCAATCATTACGATTACAATAATTACGATTTACAATAATTGTAATCATTACATTTTCAAATTACGATTACAATAATT